ATTTCCCTTAACAAAAGTGCAATACGATATATACAACATTCATAATTCTTAGCGATCGAGTTGCAAAATTACGAAGGAAGTTTGTTACATGTGTCGTCATTTCAATTTTAATTTAAGTAATGAAAAGTTTGTTATTATTGAGCGATTCGTACTGTTCCATCCCCTTCATTGAAATTTCAAGGCAACTCTTTAGGAATGAACCTTATTTCACAGATATACTCATATAAAGTAAACAAGAAAAAAGTAGATAAATGTTACCAATGAAAGTGCAAAAATATTAGATTTCTCATCATTTCTTGATAGTAGAGACTAGAGACTCATACAGGAATGCTAAGTAGAAAGCTTTCCTACATAAATTATTAATTTCTGCAACTCGCTTAATATACAAAACAGGTAGACCCTAAACATGAAAACCCCAAAAAATGTAATTTTTCTGCATGGTAATTTAAAATGTCAAGGATGATGCTTTTATTACTTTCCATATCTTCCTCCGTAATCACAACCTTCGCTGATTATATTAAGAAATTCAAAGAATATTTCTTTAAGAACTAAAAACCTGTAGCGCCAATGGATGACCATACATTGCATTAATTTATCATTTGAACATGATTTCTTCTGACAGGTGTTGTCACCTAAAATTTTCTGCTCTAAATTATACTTGATAGATTACTGTTTATTTTCTTGTTTAAACTATTGAACTAGTGTGAAATGACCTGAAGCTCAAGGTTAAACATGGATTTTTTTTTTTTTTTTTTTGGTCTGTAAACCAGTGAATTTCATTAATCCAAAATCAACAAACACCTAAAATTTTGTAGAGCATGTAAGATTGCTCTCTTGATTCTCATCCCTGTTATGGTTTTTTGTTAAATATTTGCTTTATGGAATGCACGTGACTTTTCCTCCAGATATTTAAATAAAATTGTCTAGTCAAATGTATTCCTATTCTAAAGGAAATTGTTAGATGTGCTGCTTTTGAGGATCATGACTAGGCTGATTTGTTTTATTTTCTTAACAACTTTCTGTTTGAAAAATCAGCTATATATATGAGCTGATAGTTGAATAAAAAAAAATTATCTTGACTCAAATATATCAACTCTTTTTAGCGTTTTCTGTGTTGTATCAGCTCTGTTTATCTTCATTTCTTTTGTGTTCTTCTTCTTAAAACTAACATTTTTTAAGTAACATGTTATGCGGTCAACTTCATGATAATTTGAAATAAAGGACTTTATCTTTTGTGCATTAATTTAGAGCATGAAATCATAAGATTTCAGCATAGATCATACAAGTTAAGTTAAACTATACTAGTATAAATAAGGTGGTGATTATATTCTTTTCTTAAAATTGCTACAGGTCATGGAGAAATATTTGGATCCACAGAGCATTCACTTGATTCCTTATGATGCTAATCAAGAATAGAATTGCTTTGGTTAATTAAATTGATAATTTAACTCTTTTTCTTTTCATTTATTATAACTATGTCAACTATATGTTATTTTAAAGCAGCAAAATATGTAAATAATAATTGTATAGCAAGAACCTAATTAAGCACCAAATCTACAAAAATTAATTGATAGTTACTTTTAATTTCATCATCTTTGAGATAAAAAGTTTGAATCTCTTTGGATGCCCATAACAAGAAATGATTCAATTGTGATGGTTAAATTCCGATGCAAGCCCATTTAAAAAGAACTAGAATTTTGGATCGATCGCCACTGAATGGGTACATCACCAAAAAGAAAGAAAATGAAAAAAAAAAAATTACACGATATGGTATTAACAAGGAGAATTTTTTTAAAAAAGACCATTTTTGAAAAAATATTAGAAAAATTAATCTTTTTTTAAAATATTTAGAAAAATCATCATCTTTTTTGTCACGTCATCTCGGCTAGCTAAAAAGATATTGATTTTGTAATATCGACTATAAAATACACGGGACTAGTAGTCCTATGTAATCAGTGGTCACTAATTACGGTTAATATAAAATGGTAGTCCTATGTATTTTGTGCTAAACTGGTTAAGATTTAATTAACAAGAACTAATTACACATGCTAGTCCTGTGTAATTTAAAGTTATTATTTTATAAAATCATTCTCTTTTTGCTCAAAGTTGTTGATTTGCTAATATTTTCACAAAAGTGTCAATTTTGGCAATTTTTTTTAAATGTCTTTTTAAAAAAAATTCCTATTAACAAAGATGTGATATGGTATTAATTATTGAGTAAAATATTATCATGATTGGTATTTTGATAAGTAATTGATGTAAAAAAGGATGGTACTTTCTTGCAAGTACAAAAGGATGTACTACATCATGATGCTTTATGTGTCGCAGTCTTTACAATCTCCAGCAGGTGGTTTTTTGGGGGGGTTTGCTCCAGCAGGTGGTTTTTTGGGTGGTGAAATGGAAAATCGGAGTCAAATGGGTGAATATTTCACCATTGGTTTTTCTGACCGCGTGGGTCCCGCGAAAAAAGCATGTAGCTTTATTTTTTTTAAAAAAAAATTAAAGGCGCCTACCAATCAGCACGTGACATGTGGCGATTGTTGGAGTGATGGGGTATATATGTTGGAGTGATGGGGTTATAGTGGGTCCCAAATAAAGTAAAAATCTTTTGAAAAAACTCCTGCTGTAGAGATGATAGAAAATGAAGATTGTTGAATTATGTGGAGGGGAATAAAGTGATGTGGCAGGAGAGAGAATAGAGATGATAGAAAATGAAGATTGTTGAATTATGTGGAGGGGAATAAAGTGATGTGGCAGGAGAGAGAATGTTAAAATTTCCACTCCTGCTGGAGATAGTAAGACGAAAGTTGGTATCATATCTATATTTTAAATTAAAAAAATAAAATTTTTACAGCTAAGTGATCTTGATACTGTCAATAGTAATCTTTTTTACCTTATACAACTTCCACTGTTCCTGAACCAGTCACATTCTTGAATGCGCATGTCGTCATTATTAAGACACCGGTTAGATTAAACAAATAGAGGAATCTCTCTCTTAAGATATGAAAACATGTAACCAATGGATGACTGTGCATTGCATTAAATTATCATTAGACAAGGTTTAAACTGACAGACGTTCACACGTAAATATTTCTGCTCTAATTGGAGTACGGTACAATATTCTTGTTTTCTTCTTTGATGTACGAAAGTTGTTGGAGTTTAATTTAAACTCTTCAAAATGTTCGTAAGTGATCTTGTTGCTATCAATGATTAAATTATAAAAATAAAAATTTTACAGTTAACTGATCTTGTTACTATGTCAACAGTAGTTTTTACTTTACCTTATATCAGTTACTTAATTATTGACATAAAACATGAAAACCATTGGAGTTCAAGGTTAAATTTAAAATCTTCAATGTTCCCGAGCTTAACGTACATATTTTGTTATCCTAATGAACGTGAACAAACAGTGTGTATACGGTAAGAATGTGCGATAAGACAGATTTCAAATGCATCACATGAATAAACTTCATTAG